AGGCCAGAAGTCTGCGATGAAGATGTGGGCAGGGCCTTGCTCCCTCTGAAGGCCCTGGGGACATCCTTCCCTGCTTCTCTCAGCTCCCAGGAGCCCCAGGCATCCTTTGACATGTATCAGACTAACTCCAATTTCTGTCTTCCTCTTCACCGGGCACTCTCTCTGCATCTGTGTCCAAATTGCCTTCTTTTGTTTTTTAAAAAAAATATTTTTATTGATTTCAGAGAGGAAGGGAGAGGGAGGGGAGATAGAGATAGAAACCTCAATGATGAGAGAGAATCATTGATCGGCTGCCTCCTGCACATCCACACTAGGGATCAAGCCTGAAACCTGGGCATGTGCCCCCACGATGGAACCGCCGTGACCTCCTGGTTCATAGGTCGACGCTCAACCACTGAGCCACGCCAGCCGGGCCAAATGTCCTTCTTTTATAAGGACACCAGTCCCATTGGAGTTAGGGCCCACCCTCATGACCTCAACTTAGTTATATGTGAAAAAAGGTCACACTCATAGGTGCGGGGTTTAGGACTTAGACGGGTCTTTCTAGGAAACGGGGTTCAACCCATAAGGTAGTTGGGAAAGCATGTGTTTTGAAATCAGATAAGCTTGTGTTTGACATCAGCCCTCGGGTCAGCTGCTGCATTCCTGCATTAAAGGGGGGAGCCCTCGGGACCACACTCCCCCACCTGAGGCCTCAGGGTCCACCATAGCCTGGCGCGCAGCTGCAGTTGGGAGCCTTCGCAGAGGAGCGCATGCGCATGCTCAGAGCTTCCACCAGCACCCCCCTCCCAAACTCCTGCGCATCCGCAGTCTTACAGAGCAAGAGGAGAGGCCTGAGTGCAACCAAAGGAGTCCACAGAGTCCAGCGGCAAAGGCAGAGGCTGTGTCTGAGCGACCCCGGGATGGGAGCTGCAGGGGCAGGTGCCAGGGTGCTTTGAGGATAGTTAGGAGTCCCTAGAGCAGGAAGTGACCCAATGTACCAAGACCGGGTGGCCTGCAGTGGCCATGGCCCCCACGTGAAGTAGAACTGGATGACAGGGAGCCAGAGGAGGAAATCCCAACACCACCCCCCTAGCAGGACAGAATTGGTGGTTAACCCCTGAACCTTCAGGCTTCATGCTCAACTGCCCTGGGTGGAGATGGGCTCAAGGTGCAGGAAAGGAGGCTGCTGAGGCGTGGCCACTGCACGGGCAGGAGTGGGCAGAGGGAACAGGAAATTACAGAGCCTGGAGGAGAAAGCCCCAATGAGAAAGAGACCTGGAAGCAGAATTCTAGCAATAACCTTATGGTGAGAAGTCGAGGGGAAAGTCAAGTGAGGGCATGTGTGGGGTTACCCCCAAATTGTAAAGCAAGCCCTTGAGACTGTCATGGTCCTCACAGATGGAGAATGGGGTGCAGAGAGGCTGCCACCTGGCACTGTGACAAGATTATACACCATCAATATAATCTTTTGTAAAAATTAAGGTGAAATTCACATAACATAAAACTAACTATTTGAAGGTATACAATTCAGTGGCTTTTGGTACATTCACAGTGTTGTGCAATCATCCCTTCTGTCTAGTTCTAAATATTTTCATTACTCCCGAGAGAGACTCCACATCCATTAAGAAGTCACTCACCATTGCTCCCTCCACCCCTACCCTGGCAACCACTAATCTGCTTTCATTCTGTATTGCTGTGTCTATTCTGTGTATTTTATGTGAATCTAATTATAAAATAGGTGACTTTTTGTGTCTGGCTTCTTCCACTTAGCATTTTGAGGTTCATCCATGTTGTGGGAGTATCAGTATGTCATTCCTTTTCATGCTAAATAATATCCCATTGTATGGATATACCACATTTTGTTTATCCATCATTCATTGATGGGCATTTGAGTTGTTTCTACCTTTTAGCTATTGTGCATGCAATGTAATTTTCATAGGAAGTTTGTTAAAGTAGCTTCTTATCCTAGCCAAGTAGAAGTTGAAAGAATAGTCACTATGGTTATTATGCTTATATTCTACATGAACATTTATAAGGGTGATTGTGTGAAATAAATGGAATAAAAGACTTCTTTAAATCTCATGTCCTCCCTCCCAAAGGTAGGAAAGGAGGCAATGAGAGATCTCTCTCTCTCAGTCTTTACCCCTCCTACCCTCTCCCCTTCTCCTTCTCCCTCTGTCTCTATTCTCATCCATTCATTTATCCAACAAATATTTCTGAGGACCAACTGTGGGGGGTCCTGGGGAGCATTGCTAATTCCCAGCTCTAGGTCTCAGGAGATCATAGGGTGGCCCCAAACCACAGATGCTGCTCAAGCTTCTGGTAGCAGCTTCCCATTGGCCCTTCAGAACAGGAGAGAGAATGGCTCACCTGAATGGGGCCTAGATCCACAGGGAGGAGCAGGCCCACTTCCAAAGGCATGGAACCCTAGGGCTCTTCCAAAGGCCTCACTGCTCACACCCAGGCCTCCCCATGAAGACAGGATGCCTGTCCTCAGGTTCCTAAGGGCCCCTTGGCCTTGATCACCCATGGAAACAATGAGATTTTCACTTGTTCTGAGATTGGGGTGAGGGGACAATGGAGGGCTCCTAGGACGGGGCCCCTCTTTGTTCTCTATACCTTGGGTGTCTGCCTGAAGCTGAGAACTGGAGAGAGAGAGAGAGAAAGAGAAAGACAGAGACAAAGAGACAGAGAGAGAGAGGCTGCCTATTCAGCAAGTTGACAAGACCTCAAGTGAGAGAGTAAGCTGGAAAAAGTTGGGGCGACTCCAAAATATTATTTTTAATGAACTATATATTTTTATGCTTAACAAAACTACCCACAGTTTATTCTCATGTAGGTTCAAGTCTTTCCAAATAATCCTTTTCTTGCCTTCACAAGCTCCCGAGCTAAAAGCCACCTTGGGGATTGGTATTTGAGTCCACATTTGTGGGGTTCAGATTGAGAGTCCAGATCTACGACACCCGTGCATGTTTCTCAAAGTGTGACCAGTGGAATATGCAGCACAGCAAGCTGGGGTGCTTGGTCATATTCACATTCCCGGGTCCTCCGGAGAAGAGTGCTTCTTTCTCTCCAGTTCTCCTCCCACAAAGTCCAAGAACTGGGTCTCCCTGGCTCCAGTTTTCCTGGCTTGAGTCACGGGCCATCCTGAACCCATTTTCTGTGGCCAGGTAGGGGCAGGGATGAGCCCCTTTGACATCCAGGGGGACTGGAGAGCAAGGGAAGGTGTTTCCCAAGGAGAAATGGAAAGTGACAGGCGATGGGGTTTTGAGCCACGGAGGAAGCTTTTCCCAACAATGACAGCTGATCATTATCAGATAGGCCAGGTCCTAAGGAGTGAGTTCCCTGTTTCCCGAAGTCCTGGACCAGAGGATGGATGACCCTGTATCGGGTTTGCTGCAGAGGTTTCTGTATCAAGTAAGAGGCTGGACTAGATGACGGGCCTGCCTCAGTTATCTGCGGCTGCTGTAACAAATTGCCACAAACTTAGTGGCTTAAAACAACACAGATGTATTATTTGACAGCTCTGTAGGTTAGACACCCAACATGAATCCCACTGAACTCAAATGCAGGTGTCAGCAGGGCTGTGTTCTTTCTGGAAGCCCGAGGAAAGTCTGTTCCCTTGCCTCTTCCACCTGCTAGAGGCCTCCCACAGTTCTTGGTGTGTGGTTCCCTTCCTCCGTCTTTAAACCCTGTAACAGCAGGTTGAAAACTTCTCCATCTCCCATCACATCACTCTGACCTTCTCTCTGCCTCCATCTTCCACATTTAAGAACCCTGTGATAATAGGGGGTACCTCCAGGTAATCCAGGGCAATTGACCTATTCTAAGGCCAGCAACCTTAATTCCGTCTGCAACCTTCGTTCCCTTTTGCCATGAATTGTAACGTATCCCCAGGTCTGGGGGACATGGACATGGACATCTTTGGAAGCCACTGCTCTGCTCACCATAGGACCTCAATGTCCCCTCCCAGCCAGAGATTCATCAATCTTATAATTGACTAGAGGCCTGGTGCATGAAATTTGTGCACGGGGGTGGGGGGGTCCCTCAGCCTGGCCTGCACTCTCTAATCTGGGACCCCTCAGGGGATGTCCGACTGCCGGTTTAGGCCCCATCCCTGCAGTCAGACATTCCTCTCACAATCTGGGAGTGCTGGCTCCTAACCATTCACCTGCCTGATTGCCCCTAACCACTTGCCTGCCTGCCTGATTGCCCCTAACTGCCTCTGCTTGCCGGCCTGGTTGCCCCCTAACTGTCTGGAAGGAAGTCGGAAATCCAGAAGATGTCCAGTCGACCTGGTCTAATTAGCATATTACCCTTTTATTAGTATAGATTGGATCACTGGGTCTCTTTAAGCTGGGCAGAGACTGGGGCACAATTGGGCACAATAGTAACACTCTTCGGATCCCCAGGAGCACAGCACATGTGATTGTTTGCTTTGAAACCAGAAGGCAGGTTACACAGTAATTACCTCTTTGTCTATTAGCAGCAATTACGCTCATGTCGGTAGGAGGTCTAGAATGACTGTGGACTCAGACGCTTTCTCAGAAAAATTCTATTAAGTGTGTAACCAAGAAATCATTACAGAACCCTTGAAATTATAGCGTTACCAGGGAGGGGAGGAAGGATGGAGAAGCGGGCTGACTGTGGGGGAGGGGAGCTTTCCTCCCCTTACGTCCTCGTGGCCCGTGGAAGTCGGCGGGCACAAAAATGGTGAGAAGTAATAACAGCAGCTATTTGTTGCTACTTCCTGGGTGAAAGGCATGGAGCTGGGGCTTTACACACCCCAGAGCCAAATTCCTGAGTGATGCTCCGTCCTTCAGGGTCTTCCCAGGCTGAGAGGAGCACACAGATTCTCTGTTTCAAGGACAGGGAGGCTGAGGTGTCCAGGGAGGAGGCTAAAAGGTCCAAGCCTGAGCTGGGAAAGAGTTCAGGTCTCAACCTTCCAGAACCATTTCAAACCAGCCAGGATGGGCTGAAGCCAGGCCATGGGCCTTGCCTTCCGTGTTATAGCTTTTACTCTGTCACCAACAGGAACCACTGAAGGGGTGGGTAGAGACATGGCTGTTGATCCTTCTGTTGACTGGATAGACCAGGCGTTGGCAAACTTTTTCTGTAAAAGACCAGGTAATAAATATTTGAGGCTTTGCAGAGCATCTGCTCTCTGTCACGACTGCTCAGCTCCACTGTAGTAGGGCAAAAACAGGCCAAGACAGTATGTAACAAAATGAGCATGGCTCTATCCCAATAAAACTTTATTTACAAAGCAGGCTGTGGGCCAGGTTTTCCCATAGGCTGTAGTTTGCCAAGCCCTCATCTAGATGCTGGATTTGAAGAGTGTATATATTCTAGGTTCCTATAAGTCAGATTCCCACCTATTTATCCTATTTATTTTTCTTTTATTCACTGGCATATTTAAATGAATCATTGGACTAGTTAAATAACAATTAGCAGTGATAGCAATTATCATATTAAGTTTTTAGAGCTACAGAGTTATTTCATATAAATTATTTCACATGATCCTTACATAATTTGAGGACATAAAGCAGTGGTTCTCAACCTTCCTAATGCCACGACCCTTTAATACAGTTCCTCATGT